TGATATATTCTCCAAGAAATCTGCCCTCTTCATTTTTCTTTTCTAACTCAGCTTCTTAAAATAGACAGGGTGAGACAAAGTAGCTAGCATGGTTATCTTTTAGTACTTAAATAGCAGCTACTGAGAGTCGCACCCATATTCCTGTAAAATATTAATTTGGGGCTTGGGGGTAGCTCAGTGGTCAAGTATGTCCTTAGCATGGGTGCCGCCTTGGAATCCATCCCCAGCACCAAAATATGAAATCCAACAAGTAGAACTGCTTAAAGTGGCATTATCATATGATGAATAAAGTGCTGAGTTTTCTTTAACTTACACAGATATTCACATCCCTGGGAAGTCCTCCTGCAAGCTAATCAGAGGTAAACTCTTAGGCAGAGGAACTAACCGTGACTCAGCACATTTACAAAAGGATTTATACCCATTCTTAGAAGGACAACCAAAGGAAACACCATCTGACTTCTAAACAATGGTATCTGCTTGCCCTTTGATCTTAGTTTAAGAACACGCTGTACAGCTCTTTTGTTGAAATACCACATTTAAATTTCTTTAGGAGAACATCTACAGCTTCTTCTTTGAACCACACTCTTGCAAATTCTCCTAACTACTCTTGTTGTGAGTAGCTGGCAGGCGTGATTTATTTTCTGCTAACAAAAATCTTCATAAGGACAGACAGCTCAAATGAAAAATGGCACTACAGATCCCACGTTTATGAGGGAAGGACAGTGCAGTGAATCTGGTTTCAAATACAAGTAGGGAGTATTCCATTTTTCTTCTAATTTATGTTTCCCAAGAGTAATTTTGTTGAGAAGATTGCCAGTATTTTTAGTACAATAAGTTTCTTGTTTCTTCTACTAATGCATACTGATTCCTTTTTCTAAACCTGATTTCAGCTTTTTATTTTCTTTAATCTCAGCATCTAGAGACCCAACACCTCAAATAAATAGGTCTGAAAGGCAAGAAACATTGTTGCTAGTCTCCATGTAATGCATATTACAAATTAATATTTATATGGATAGCTGCTTTAAAAGAGGTAGTTATATCAGTAAAGCATTGTGATAAGCATCAAATACCATAAACCTCAATGTTCTAAATGTCTTTACCTCAAGCTTTTTTAACTCCTTAAAATCATTTCTAAAGAATCAGATTGGTGAAATGTCAATTTAAAGTGTGGGCTATTGTTTACATTCTCATTAATTCATTCGGTTTGAGGTATCTTTCAAGTGCCCAGCATTGTTAGGTAGGCAGGCTAACTGTGGTAGATGAGTGTGGTATTGGCCTTGGAGGATGACATCCTAGAGGGTACACAAACAAATGAGTAAGCAAATTTAAAAAAAACAAGAGAAAAACTCCTCGTGGTCAGCAGAAGGAAGGAAATAAGCAGGGCTCTGGGATGGTACAAAAGACAGTGAAGCAGCTCCAGCTCATACAGAAGGGTAAAAAGGTCTCTCTAAGAAGCTGGATTTTAAGCTAAGACCCAAAGGATATTTCGGGATACTTCTCCAAGGTCACCAAATTGGCAGGCTTGCTTTCAAAGCTGCCAAGGCATTTTTAGCAGTAGAAAACAAATAGAACATGTCATCTGTGGCCCTAATTTAATGCAAGTTCATGAGCTCACCCCAGCACTGTAGACCAGGCACAGGGACAGCAGAAGGTTAGCACTTCACATTCCAGCCTGTTCACCCAGACGGTTAAAACTGTCAACATAAACAACAATGAATGGGTCGAATGACCAGCGTTTGGGCTGAGAGAGATTCATCCTGTTGATTCATCCTTCCTGATAGTCCCCTGGCTGACAAAACTCAGGGTGTTTCAAATGTATTTCATGAGTAAATTATTCCTCCAGTCCCAGAGAGGAGGCATGTTTACAACCACGTAACACTTTCCCTTGTACTTCCAGTGTACAACTTTCTTATCCTAGTGGATAGAGCACTTCAGAACTCAGTGCTGTAACACTTATCTTTCCCTAGGTTCTTTAATAGATGAGTCATGTAGCACAACAGCTAACATGACATTGACACCAATTGGGAAATCTGTGGAATTCTCCCAACATCCTTCGAGAATCCACATTGCTAAGCAATTACTTTCTTCAAATGAACTGTCCTTCTTAGGCTCAAAGCCAGGATAATCAGATTTTATCACATTTTAGTCTTTCCCTGTGAAATCTCTCTGTATCATTGCTAAATAGATTAAGATAAAACAGAATTGCTTGATTGGCAAGTGATGAGGCATGCTGCTTGGATTCTTCTTACCTGGGAAAGGTTTTCTTCTTTAATTACCCAGATGGAATCCAGGACTAGACCTACAGTCAGTATAATTTATATCAGATTTTAAATTTATAATTTATGGGCTCAGTGATGGGGATGTACAGGACTTGGGACAGAGTGCCCACCCCAGAAATTTCTTTCAGTTTCATATCAGCCTGAAATTGCGCTCTTAGTGAGTTCTCTTGGAACTTTTCAGATCTTTTAAAAATCCTTTCTAGATGGACTCAGGTGGCTCACGCCTGTAACTCTAGCTACTCAAGAGGCAGAGATCAGAAGGATCCTGATTCAAAGCCAGCCCGGGCAAATAGTTTGCGAGACCCTATCTCAAAAAACCCTTCACAAAAATAGGGCTTGTGGAGTGGCTCGAGGTGAAGGCCCTGAGTTCAAGCCCTAGTACAGCCAAAAAAAAAGGTCAGAAATGAGAGTCACCAGAGAAATCTGGAGGTCACTAAATACAACAAATGTCACCATTCTTTACAAACTTGCCTCACGCCAGGTCTCAAAATTTCAAATACCATCCAAGACAGTGGTTCCTGAGTCCTGGTATCACCTGGGGGCATTTGAAGCAGTCCTAGTTCCTGGTTCTACCCTGCACACATTCTGAGTGGATTGAAGTGGAGTGCCACCTGGGCACCTGGATAAAATTTTAAAAGGCCCAGGTTGTTCTAAAGTGTAGCAGTATTTGGAAGCCTTGCTTTTAATTTCTTACTGGGATGACACACTGATTTCCTTCCGGCACCAGAATCTCTTTCAGAGGTTTTTGAGTGTAGTGGTACATTAAAAAAAAAATCTAAGGCACTTTAAAAAATGTCTGATCCCCCACCTCAAAGATTCTGAGGATTCAGGGTCTGGGTGGGAAGCAGCCCCAGAATCTCTTAGTTTTTAAGTGCTCGAGGCAATACTAAATGCTAGTTTTTAAGTGCTCAGGGTAGCCAAGGTCAAGAACCATGGTCCACACCCAGAATTTTCTGTGAAGAAGGCAGAAGTACAAGACTTCTCTAGCATTACTGGGGTTACGGTTACGACTACCCAAAAAGGCAACAGGACGTTCCCCAAAAGCAGTCAGGAAACCTGAGGGAAGGAGGTGTTGAGGAGAGAGCAAGGGGTGGAATTTATTAAACCAGAAGTAGAAATGTTAGAATAAGTAATAATGCTGGGCCTCTGCTACCTCTGATCCCCGCCCCCCTCCACCACCACCAAATTTTAATGACCGGCAGGAAAGAGAGTTTTCACAGAATGCTTCCTGGAGGTAGCTCAACCTTGAATTTGGTTCCAGTACATTGTGAATATTCTAGGACTAGATCAGATCCCCTGGCAATGCAAGTAGCCAGATTGGCAGCCCTGGGCCTCGGCTCCCTGTGAGATTCTGTTTCACGAATTTCCCAGGAGGATTTCTGCACCACTTGCCTCCACACCCTCCCGGTCCCCCCTAACTCCTGCCCTCATGTTCCCGTCCCCCGCTCCCCCCCCCAAAAAAAAAGCTCAGCTCCAATGAGAATCACTGATACACTAGTAAAGAAACCAGTTAGATATATCACACTGGTATCACTCATGTAAACAATGCCGCTAAAACGACAGGAAACTGACATGGCTTGGAGACCTGTGTGCTACTTTTGGCAAGCGTCTGCTAACACACTCTGGGAGCTGGGCACAGCCACGCGTCTCACGTGGGACAGGAAGCCTGCGGAGACCCACCCCACCGTGCGGCTGCACCCACTCGGACGTGACTACAGCAGCCCCAGGCCTCCATGCGGAGGACGCATCTCCTCCATCCCTCTGTCTGCACTAAACCGAATCAGTTTATGAATGAAGAGCTACACAAACCGAAGGCGCTGACTAGGAAAGTCTTCCTCACACCCATCTCATTTACAGACGAGAAAACTTAAAGGGGGAAGAAAGGCAAAGTGACTCCGTCCGCGTTTGCCACAAAACATTTGTGGCAGAGCCTGATTTTGCCTCCCTTGAATTTCCATTCTGTTGCCTGGCAACGGGTTCAGACGAGCTCAGCGCCCAACCCCGGCCCCAACCCCACACCCTTTCTCTGCCCATGCAGCTTGGGTAGCATTGATTAAAGGTTCAGCTTTTGGGGACAACAGCCAAGGGCATGTGAGGAGTATCCTAGTTGTGCTGAGATCCGGCCCCCAGCAGGCACGAGCCCCGTCCGATGGGACTGACTCGCCGTTAGCGGTCCTTACAGGACCTTCCTCCGAAACCAAAGCCCTCTTTCGCCAATACCTTGGACACCTCTTAAAACACTCATATCAAGTTTCCAAAGTTCTCAACTACGGTCGGATTCCCTAAAAGTCGCAGTGGGAAAACTAAGCACTCCCAGCATCAAAGGGCAAAAGAAAGTTTGAAGGAAAAAAGTGTTGGGGAACCTTCTCCTTCCCTGAATGGCCACATTCAGCTGGGCTTTCCTGCCTCAGTAGAGCGTTTACGTAGCCAGAGCTCAGCAAGAGTGAGGAGAGCACAAAAGTGTTTAGGGCGCCCTCAAAGACCCGCCCGCGGGGGACAGCACTCTCCGAGCTGCCCGCGCCTGCCCGCCGCCTCCCGCGGCCACAGATCGCAGCGGGCCAGCCCCGCGGGGAGCACACGTGCGGCCCACCGCCGCGCAGGTAGCGGAGCGCAAGCTGTCTCCTCATCCCCACCGCGCCAGGCGGGACCTGCACGCCGCAGACACTTCCTCTCCTTCACACTACAACCACCCCGACCCAGGAAACTACCCCAATTCCTTACCCAGGTTCACAAAGCTCATGACCATGTCCGCGTCATTGAGGAAGGCGCTGTCCTGCGCGCTGGTCAGTGGAGATCCGCCGCTGGCGCCAGGTCCTGGGGCCAGGAGGCTCTTGCGGTTTAGGGGGTGTGTGATGCCGGGAGACGGCTGCCGGAGCTTGGACGAGCTGGCCTCTCCGTGGAACTCAGGCTGCCGCCCGTCCCCCTCCGATGCCCCGTCCTCCTCGTCGTCGGTGGACAGGGCGTTGTACAGATCCAGCATGAAGAGGGGCGCGGACTTCAGCCGCTCGGGAGGGGGCTCCTCGCGAGGCGTCTGCTGCTGTGGGAGCGCTGGTGGATGCGGCTGCTGGAGGCCGTGCAGGGGCCGGGGCCTGTGCTGGAGCCCCAGCACCGACAGGATCTCCTTCTGCATCTCCCGCTTCTCGTGTGTCTTGAGCCGCCGGTAGAGGAAGCCCGAAGAAGAGGACTGCGGCGGCGGCGGCTGCTCCGCACGGATAGGGCTCCCGCCCTCCCCCAGCAGCTGTCCCCCAGCGGCGGCGGCCGCGGCTGTGGGCAGGGGCGGCCGCAGCGTCGGGGGCCCGCAGCAGCTGCACAGCAGCCCCCACCACCAGCACAGCCACTGCGCCCTCCGCCCCAGCCCCGGCATCCCAGCCTAGCCGGGCTGCCCCCGCAGGCCCCGCGAGGCGTCAAGCTGCGGAGCGAGGCTGGAGCGCGGCCGCTGTGGCCCTTGGCGTGAACAGCCCCCGCCACCTCTCGGCGGGCTCGCTTCCCCTTCCTGGCTCTCAGTCCTTATCTCTCATGGTCGTCCGGGGCACCCCCAAGTAGCCCAGGCTGGAGGGGAGGCGAATCGGCGATCACCCGGGAGCCCCGGTGCAAGTCTGTAGAGGCGCACGGTCCAGGCCAGGTGTGTCCGAGTCAAGACTGCGCTGCAGGCGGTGCCCTTGCCCCTGGGCGGGTCACGGCGCGGTCACTCCCCACGGGACACTCACCGTCCGCACACGTGCGCTGCCCACCGCTCTCCCGAGCGGCTGGCTGAGTAGGACCAGGGGCGTCGGGGAAGCAGGGCCGCCGCTCAGGAACTGGAAGCGATGCCCGACATCATCCCCGCGCACACCCCTCCCCGGCTCTCAAGGCCACCGTGATGTTCACCCTGCCGCTAGGGCCTAGGCTGTGGCGACCAGGCGTCCCGAAATGCCAGCCTTCTCCTCGAAGCTGAACTTCCTTCTCGTTCACAAACTCCGCGCCCCTCCGCCCTCGAGCACTGTCGCTCCCCCTCAGTCTCCGACCGCCGTGCGCCTCCCCAAGCCGAGGCAGCAAGGATCTTGCTTTCCGTTCAGAGCTCGCTCGACTGCCCAGCAAACCCCGCTCGCAGAGGGCACTGGGAGGGACGGAGACCAGTGAACCGGACAGTGGCTGCGGCGTCGGCTCTGGAATTTGCAGTCTCCCGCCTCTCCGCGCGGTACTCCGCGCAGCCGCCAATGTGGGCTTTCTGCTGTGTGTCTTTACTCAGGTACCGCACTCCAGTCCCCGGACTCCCCGCCCTTCTGGGTAACTGACAGACTGGCAGCCAATACAGAGAGGAATCTTGAGGGCTATTTAAATAGGTCCGCCTCCTTCTTTCACCCTCCCCTCCCCAGAGGCGTAGCCTCTGCCGCGCGTAGGTTTCAAGCACAGAGAATTCTTGGCGTCTGGAAAGGAGCCGCGAGGTATCAAAGGCAAACAGGTCATCGCTAGTATGAACCATATGATCAACGCCCGGATCTGAACCTTTCTCTGTTACTATCACGTGAAAGGCCTAAATTGTGACTAAATAAAAGTAAACACAGCTATTAAATCTGTACTGCCTGAATTCAGGAAGAAAAGGAAAATGATAGTTTTCCCTTTCCCTTCTTAGTTTCTCTTATTGATGTAATGTAAGCATTTCGCGGACACGTGGCTTTCACAGACAGCTGCTGGAAGTTGAGACACACCCTCGGAGGAAAGTGCTTACAAACTTGCCATAGAGAAGGCCAGATATAAGCCAGACTAGAGCCCTGAGGGTTTTGGGTGGAATATTTTGACGTCTCTTCTGTGGGGCTTCGGTTTGGCTTCATAAACTAACACCCAAACACGGTACAATCCACTAATATATAATAGAAAAGCCATCCCTACTTTCTTGGTAGTGTTCTCGATGCTTCTCCAGTTTGTCAGTTAATGTTGCATTTTAATGTATTGAAATACTATGTAGTTTACATAATGCAAGACAAAACTTGAGTGGTGGTAGAGACAATTCCAGTAAGGGTAGGTGTTTGGCATGTATCCTAAATGGTGGCAATAATAGACAGGGCCCTGAAACACAGTTGCTGTGAACAGTAGACAATGTAACACCTCTACCAACACCACCAACTGCCAGGAAAGATACAAATTCATTTGCCAATACACCATCCAGTCATCTATAGATCCTACAAGCAAATTCACCTTAAACATTAGGTTCTTTTACCTGGGAAAACTTGAAAAATTAGAAAACAAAATCTGCAATTTGTTGACTTGGTAGCCTTAGTTCACATAGTCCAAAGCATTTGAGAGTGAGACCAAATAGATTAATGAGATCATTGGGGTTTCTGCTTGTCCAAATCCTATATGAGTTCCTTTCTTATTTCAAATAACCTGTTTTAAGTGTGTAAAGGTCTTTACCTCCAGCCACCCCCTGGATCCTTCTGTCCAGTTCTATCTTGGCCCAGGCACAGTGGTCATTTAGGACAGTCTTTAATTCTACAAATGTCTAATAACAATTTATTTCAGGCCACACAACTATAACAATACTTATGGTCAGTCTTTAACCATCTTCTTGGATTCTTTTCACCAGAAAAGCGAATATATCATTGGTTGGTCTGGGGTGCCAGCACTCTTACAATATAAGAGTCTAGCTCATTTCTTTCTTCTGTTTAGGACATGGTTCAAGCATAAAATCATTGCCATGGCTCCCACAGCAGCTGTGAGGTCTGCTCAAAAGATCTGAAGTCCAGGTGAGTTATGTAGGCTTCCCACCAAGGGCCTCCTCACACAAACCTAGTCATACTTTCTTCATAAGATTTCTGGTTGGTGAAAAAGAAGCTCCAAGCCATTAGGCCATTGAGGAAAGCAGTGGAAAACTGTAAAAACCTTAAATGTATATGAGGACACTTAATAGAGCTATGCCATTTAAGACACAAAATCAGGTGTGACTCACCTTGTTGTACATGCATCTGTGGAGATAAATCTAATGGAGAACACACAGGGACACACACACCAAAGCCATCTCCCCCTTTTTTTAGGTACTTGGCTAGAGGAAGCTGACCTGTGTGACCCAAGTCAAAACTGACATTTGGTGAAGTCAAACATCTAAGCATCATCCCTAATTTAGTTCTGTCATGGGTTTCTCACCCCCAGATGGACTCTCTGTTGCTGCTGAATAGAGCTAGAATGTGGGGTACTGAGGCTGTCTCCAGATGATGAACAGGAGAGCCATAGGAAGCCTGAAAAAGACGTGAAGTAGGATGGCAATGATCATAAGGAGAGTGCCATCCAACTTTGAGAGCCCTAAAAATGTTCTTACATACCCAACCTGCGCATGTTGTATTTGCCAGGAAAGACAAAGGCAAGCTCTGTATTCACTGGGGACCAAAAAGGATGGGAGAAGAGGTACAGTTCTAACTTCAAGTTGGGAGCGGGGTGGGGAGTGGCCCAAACAATGTATACACATGAGGGTAAATGTAAAAATGATAAAATTTAAAAATTGGGGGCACTTCCTCCCCAAGTCAACTCTGCGTAGATAAGGAACTCTTAACCACCACCACCTCTCCTGCTCCCTGTTTCTCTAACTCATCCCTATTAAAGATCCCAATGCTCCTCCAAGTCTCAGAACAGAAGACTAACAAAGTCCGCATATGATTCAAGAGGATGAGAGGTGAGTTGAGTTGAACAGAAAGGAGCAGATCTAGCTTTGGAGTTCATAGAAATCTGTGAATGCCTTAAGAAAATCAGAGGTAACTTCGCCCCCTACAGGACACTGAAATATTACCTCCCCTTCCTCTGTGAGTCCTGGACAGGCGTCATTAAGTTCTCTGTACATGTCTCTAAAACATCTGGGGGGAAAGAGGAGGAATTCATTGAAGAAGCCAGATGTGGGAGCCAATCCTTAGCAAACATCTGGTTGCTTGGCTGACATTTCATGCAGATGGCCTCAATTTCTGGAAATAGGTTGCCTGTCCCACCCCTGCCCCACTTCATGAAGAAGTGAGGAACCCTCACCAGAAAGCATGGGCTTATCCCATGTCTTCCATGATACTGCAGACAGGGTGGGAATCCTGACCCCACAGGTTTATCAAGGCACAGTGTAATTCACACAGCAAATGCTTTAAAATGCAGTAGTCCATGTTCCTTTTATGTTATGGAGGGTTATATTAAACATTTATAAACATTTGACCAGCTAATTGCTGTTTTGAAAAGATACTACTTATTAATTTGATATGCTAAATATTCTACACCCTAACTCTTCTGTGAGTTATCTCATTAGTGGTAAACTACCAGTGCAGTCTTTGATTTTATATTCAGTCATACAGTGGTCCCATTCAACTGCCTTTTAAAGTTATAAGTCAATGCTTTTGGAACTAACTTAACATGAAAATCTTAGAAACTGTGGCTATGGTGTTTAAAAGTCTGAGCTCTGCCCCTTGAATCCTTAGGGGAAACCACTTGGAAATACTAAACTTTTATCATTACGATTTAGCAGAAGATCGGAGTCTTTTAAATACTAATTTCAAAATATAGTAATTTTTAAAATATCAATTTGGAGTTAAGCAAAAAGGAACTATGTTAGGCCAATGTTTGCAAAGTATATGAAATGAGAAATTGAGAGTTAAATAAATATTGTTTCTGAAAGCTATGCCTGAATAGCAGCTTCCAAAGTACCTGTCACATCCACACATCTATGGTAGCACGTTCTTTCGCTAACATGTTCGTTTCACTGTCTATTCAAAAATCCTGGGCAGTCACACTTCAAAATATCATTCAAAGCCATCATATTTTCCTACTCATGAAGGACATCTGGTGGCAGAGTGAAAAACTAATACATAAATCTGTTTTCAGAGATTTTTTTTTCCACACTGTAACCCAAATAGCAAATCTGTTACTTGTGTGCTTCAAACTTTTCATGAAGCTCAGAGCTCATGATTGTAAGCTTTAGGCTGTCTACATAATATCAAGCCACAAAGTATTTTGAGACATCCAGTGGATTAAAAAGATTTTGAAATTTTCATTGGATCATTGACATTCACAGACTAAGTCTTCCATTTGTTTTTGCTGAGCAAAACAATATTTACCACATTTCCAAGTCTAGTTTTACTATCCTTGAAGAGTTTTCTTCCAAGAAAGCACTGTAGTCTCAGCTGGACTGGAGCCATGAGCTCTCTAGGATGTCTGTGTTGACCTCTAGGCTTCACTCCATTCTGTGACCCACTCAATAACCCATGTCCCTATATATCTCTGTGTGAACTAGAAGGCTACATGAAAACCTGACATGGTGCTACCAACTTCCTAAAGTAGCAGAGATATAACCAGTAGCATGTGGGACCAGCAAAAAACACAGAGCAAAATCAGGTTAGAATGAGGACTTTCAGCTGCCAAAGGAGAAGGGAAAGATGAGTTACCTGGTCTGCATGTATTCATTCGCTCATTCACTCATTCACTCATTCAGCTGACAAAGAGTTGAATGCCTGCTATATGGCAGGCATTGCTCTAAGTTTTGGGACACCAGTCAGAGACCCATGCTCTCTTAGATGGGGAGATGGACAACAAGCAAAATAAGAATACACACACACACACACACACACACACACTTGCTAGGTAGCTCTTTTACATAAGCTATACCTCCATCCAAGAAGATATATTTTGACAGGGAGGATGCTAGCCTCCATGGCTTTTCCTCCAGGTGTTACACCTGTGAAAATGTGACCTTATGTTACAAAGAGGACTTTGAAGATGGAATTAAAGTTGGTAAACAGGTAACCTTAAAATAGGAGGGCTGTCATGATTCTCTAAGAAGGCCTAATATAATTCCAACAGTCTATAATAGAAGAGGAAGACATAAGAGATGTGTAGCCTGAGAGACTTAATCCATTTCGCAGGCTTTGAAGATGAAGAGGACACAAACCAGGGAATGCAGGTGGCATCTGGTAGCTGAAAACAAACCCCAACTTACTGTCATTAGGAAAACAGAAACCCTAATGTTAATTCCAGATTTTGTCAGTGAACCTGAACAAGCCTAGAAGCAGATCCTCACTCAGAGTCTCTAGACAAAAGCCCAGGGCCGCAGAGTCCTTGACTTTGGCCTGTGGATACCCCACTTGCAGGACTGTGAGAAGTTTGTATTCTTTTAAGCCACTACATTTGTTATTTAGTTTCAGCAGCAAGAGGAAACAAATAGATATTTAGTATGATGATAAGTGCTGTAGAGAAAATTGGAATATGAAGAA